GCACTCTTAGGGTACACCTCACTTGGTTGCCTTCGAAAGTGGTCATTGAGTATAGGAAGTTTTAGAGGTCATTCTCTTGTCCAAAGATCATAAGTTACCTCGAAACGGTTGCCTCAGAAAAAATGATCTAAGACATTAGGGTTACCGCTAAGGCGTCCTAACATTGCTTTAGTGACCACACGTCCCTTAATCGAATTGACCCGAAAACTCCAACGACGGTGCTACCTACTCCTCAATAGTGGGATAGCATTGTCTAAAGGACATTTGTACATATTAATTCCTTTTTCGAGTAGGTAGATGGTTCTTAAGTACTTGCTCATTCTAAAACAAAACAAAACTTTTCGCACTTACGCTCCTTTCAAACAAAAAACTCCTTTCAAACCCATAAACACAAAGAAAAGCAAATTTTGAAAACACTTTGAGCAAGTACCTAAGAGCCCATGGATAACCATGAATAGAAAGGATGCTAACACCTTCCTTTTCTATAATCTACCCCCCGGACCCGAGAAACATCTCGAAAAAGGAATTTTTCTGTGCTTCTTTCCTTTCCTTGTTGGATAAAATAAAAGACGGTGGTGACTCTTGCTTACCACGACATTTTGCAAAAACAAACGCAAAACGCGAACCAGCATTCCAAAACAGTCAGTTCTCTTCCCACCGTATCACACCAGGTGTATAATCTTTTTTATATATCCCTAATTTTTGCCCGAACCCCTTTTGGTTCGCCGGGATGCCCTTATTTTTTCCTAGGCCAGTCAACCTAGCGGGTCATTTTCATGCGTAGTATCTTTTGACTATGTCCACGTTCACAGGGTGCGGGAAATCTTCACCATCCATGGTGGTCAGTATTATAGCACCTCCCGAAAATACTTTCTTGACAACAAATGGCCCTTCGTAGGTGGGAGTCATTTTCCCATGGGATCACCTTGCGGTAGAATGATTGTTTTATCACCAAGTCACTAGCCTGATATACCCAATGCTTAATTTTCTTGTTGAATGCCTTAATCATACGCTTCTGATACATCTGACCATGGCACACAGCTGGAAGGCTCTTTTCATCAATCAAATTCAACTAATCCAACCTAGTATGAATCCAATCGTCTTCATCTAAGTCAGCATCCTTCATAATTCTTAGAGAAGGGATATGAACTTCGACAGTTAAGACAACTTTCATACCATAGACCAGAGACAATGGGGTTTCCCCAGTTGGTGTTTGCGCTGAAGTGCGATAGCCATGAAGAGCAAATGGTAACATCTCATGCCAGTCTTTGTAAGTTAGAACCATCTTTTGTATGATCTTCTTAATGATCTTGTTGGCGGTTTCCACTGCACCATTCATCTTTGGTCGATACAGAGAAGAGTAGTGGTGCTTGATCTTGAACTGCGTGCATAGTTTGATGATCATAGTGTTGTTGAGGTTAGTGCCATTGTTTGTAATGATTCTCTCATGGATGCCATATCGACAGATAAGGTTATGCTTGATGAATTGGGCCACAATATTCTTGGTAGCTGAGGAAAATGAGGCCGCTTCATCCCATTTTGTGAAATAGTCAATGGTGATGAGAATGAAACGATGTCTGTTAGAAGCAATAAGCTTGATTTCTCCGATCATATCAATGCCCCATATTGCGAATGGCCAAGAAGCAGTCATGACGTTCAAAGGTACTGGAGGCACATGAACTTTATCAGCATAGCTTTGGCACTTACGACAAGTTCTTGAGTGATGGTGACAGTCGGTTTCCATAGTCGACCAATAGTAACCTGCTCTCAAAATCTTCTTAGCCATAATGTGATACGGTGGCAGAATCGACTGTTATATACTGGTTTTTGCATTTTGTATTTGCAAATGTGCGGTAAGCAAGAGTCGCCATCGTCTTTTCTTTTATCCAACAAAGGAAAGGGTGAAAAGAATAGAAAAAGACCTTTTCGAGATGTTTTCTGAGTAAGGGGTAGATTAAGGAAAGGGAAGGTGTTAGCACCCTTTCCATCCGTGGTTCTCCATGGGCTCTTAGAGGTTTTCTCATTTTGAAATAATTTTGTGCTTTGTGTGTTTGAAAATGTTTTGAGAACGCCTTAGTACGGTGAACTTTGTATTGTTTCTCGGGATAGTGGAGAAAGTATGCAAAGTGTTTTGAAATTGTTTTTGAAAAGTAGTTTTATGTGTAAGTACAAAAATGTTTGATCAAACTTCTAACAGCTATCTACTTTTATACTCGAAAATGATCATTCTTTTCCTCTTTTCCTTTAGACAATACTATCCTACTATTACTGAGTAGGTAGCCTTATCGTTGGATGTTGAGGGACATTTGAAGGGATGTTTTACAATCATAAAGGCAACATATGGAGACGCTTTATCAATTTTATTTAAGGGACGAGATCATTTACCGAAAGGCAACACCGTAGGGTCATCGAGGGACTATGATATTTTGATTTTACGGGTCTTTGCTAAAGCATCCCCATTCTCGAGGGACATGACTGTTTTATTTTCCAAAAGGCAACCGAAGCGGGGATACCCTAGAGGTGCATATGTGCATATGTGTTGAGATTCAGTTATTTTTGTCTTTTTATTAGGTTAGCTAACGTTTTAATTTACAGTCTTTCCATACACGCCTATTTACTAACAATAATATAGCAAAACAATAAAGCAGTAAGTGTGCGGAAAATAAAATGCAGAAAAATAAATCCTAAACTATTACACGACTTTGGGAGAGATACAATATAAGTGTAAGAAATAAAGTGCAGAATTTTAAATCTAGACTATTACATTCCATAATCAGTTACATTACTTATATAAAATGCGAGAAAATAATAACACGCAAAAGGTTAGAAACTACTTCTAAGAACCTAAGGCAATAAGATTTTTTTTTTTGTTTATTTTTTACTTAAGAGAAAAATTAAATTAGTTTTCCTAAAGTCTATTTAGAAAATGAACTAAACTTTTTGTGGGGTTTTTCTTTATATCTATGAAAAGAAATATTAAAATTAAAGTAAGTCCTAAATTCTAGTTTACTTTTAATTTTGAAAGAAAAAGGTTAAAGTTAATTAATTAATTAATTTTAGAAACTAATTACTTAATAAAAAAACTAAATTCTAATTTTTTTCTGATTTTTATTGTTTGTTGATTAAAAACAAAGTAATGAAAATGATAAGCTAAATGGAGGAAAACAAATATATAAAAAAAAGGAAAAGAGTAATCTGCAGGATGTAGGCCTGGATCGAAAGGCCTATGGATGCCTTTTGATCCAAGTGAAAAGGCTGGTCGAAGATGCCTGAGAGGCTACATCTCTGGGGTGTTCAACTTGGATGTGTCATCCTTCGATCAGGGATACTGGATCTGCAAGGAATTCGTTAGAAAAAGAACAAAAACGTATGACCTGGGTGTCGAACCCAGGTCTTTCGATTCCCTCTCCAATCGAAGGAATCTAAAGTTTTTTCGCCCCAAAAATCCTGAGATTCGAATCTGGGTTTGTTTGGCCTGGAACTTCCCAAGTGTGATTTGAAGGGAAATCTCAGATTGTGCCCTAGCGATGGCACGATCTCACCCCTGCATTTTAGCTTGCATGCAACACAAAAATTGGAAATAACAAGAGTATACGTGCAATGTATATCTAAATGGAATGAAGGTGCCATTTTGGTTCTGCAAACTCTTACCAATCGAAGGTGGCTCTGAGCATGGAAATGTTTGCTGGGAATAGGTGTGGACTCCTGGATGTCTCAGGAACAAGAATCTGGTCTTTGTTTGGGCTGAAGGTGCATGCAAAAAAAAGTGCTTCGATTTGACACTCCTAGGGTTTCTATGAGCAATATGGCAGCATGATTTGTTCGTGTGCAAAAGTCTCTTGTTTTTCGTCCCCTTGGCACTGTGTCCTTGGCCTTGTATTTATAGGAGTGTGATGGTGTATAGTAACGACAAGATACAACCATTTAACTAGGCTTTTAAAGCTATGAGACAAGAATCAGACATATTAAAAGGTTTCTTTTTTTGAAATATTCATGCCCCTTTTGAAATCTTGGATGAACCTAGACATTTGACTCCTTCGAATGCCCTCCAGCATTGCTCTTCGATTGGCCTATTGTTACTTCCTTCGAATGGTTTTCTTTTAACTCAAACCAATCGAAACATCAACTCTCCTTTTTAATTGGTCGAAGGTTGCTTCATCTCTCTATCTATCGAAGGCTTTGAACTTGATTCGAATGGCTCATATTCTCAGCATCAAAGTTTATTCGATTAGCCCATACACATTATTCTTCTTGATGGCGCTGAGTCCTTATTCAAATTGCTCATGGCTCCCCTCAGTAGAGCTTCTTCTCTTGAGCCATGGTTTGTATGGATTCAAATGACCCATCATCATAATTTCTGGAAACCTCTCAGTTATTTCTCTTTTTGATCTCATGTTCTCCAACTTGGACAATCAGAATATCACCCTGTTGATATGTCAATCGAAACATCACCTGGTTAACATGCCTGTCGAAGAGCACTTTGTACACTCTAACAGAAGAAAAAAAACTTATTTAAGATGCCCGTCGAAGCTGCCTCGTTGAAGATGCCAATTGAAGGACCTTTGCGGATGCCAATCGAAGGACCTTTGTAGATGGAAATCGAAGGGCCTTTGCAGATGCCAATCGGAGGACCTTTGCAGATGCCAATCGGAGGACCTTTGTAGATGGCAATCGAAGGGATATCATATCATTCACACTACTTTCTTTATGCCTCATGTTATTGTCATACTATATAACTATAAAACAACTTGTTGAACTCATGTTGTTACTTTAGCTATTATAACATCAATTATCTAGATATTTTACCGCATAATGGTTACCATATCAAAATCCATATAACCAAACTTTAAATATTTCATAACACACAATATTTACTAAATACTTGACCGTAAGCAAGTCAGATGTTCAAACCGTACAAATATAAAGACACATAGTAAACATAAACAAAATAAACACACAACTGGTCCTTCTTTTCCATTACATATCCAACACAATCTGTTTCACTGTCTCTTCTTTCCCGGCTCAACATATACCAGTATTTCATCGGCTGGAGGATATCGAATGCAAAAATGCATGATGTCTCCTTTCTTTAATTCTTCATGTTTAGCAAATTCATACCAACCAGTCGTGAGATACTTCTCGCCTTCATCATTATTCCTCACTTTCACTACACAATTCTCTGAGATACCCTTCTCCGAATCATATAACTCAATCGAGCTGACCGGTCCACTAAGGGACTTCTTAATCACTCCACGCGGTAGTTGCTGAAAAAACAGATTCATAAATTAGATGATGTTCAACCCTGAAAAATATAAATATATCGTTGCAACAATTAACTTCTACTGCTTACCAACACATTCCTTCTCATAACCTTAGCATTAGATACAACCCTGCTCCATGTTTCTTCATTTCTTCGACATATATTGGAGTAAATTTCCTGATTCAAGCACAAACCAAATATATGCATACTAAGGGAGAATTGATTCTTTGAATCCATCATTGCTTATTGACTGCAACGACCAAGTCTTCTCCCCATATTTGACCATTCCTGCATTTATAATAGGAACATTGACATATTTAAGGGGATGAGTGTTCCATGATCGGTAAATAACATAAACTGCAATTGCTAGCTGGTAGAGTAACTACAACATATGTCGTGGCCATAGTTGGTTGTCCTTAAGGGAGTATGTAGGGAAACCATTTCAACTAAAGTACGGGAAGAAACTCCATTCAGTAGTTCCGATAAAACTAAATTTGTTTCTATACAAAAAATCTTGACAATATATTTTAGCACCTCGTTTCATTCATCATTTACAATCTCATCCAAAAGACACTACTTAAATGATTTTAAAGAAGTCTTGCCATTGCAAATGCTCAAGTCTTTATAAACAAAAATCATACTTAAATCAAGGATACCTGACTGGCTTGATTAGTTAAGTATTACTAAACTTAACATGTACAAAGTATGAGGAAAGAAAGTTGAGCATTTAATTAAAATAAATGTATATATCATGACAAATGACAATGACATGATTAAATATCTCTTTAGAAAGTTGCTACTTACTTGCTAGCAACTTGCAAGCTAACAAATAGGCAATTTCTTAAAGGAAAACTCATTAGATGACACAAAAGGCTTGATAGGCAGGAAGTCATGCATGTCATGAAATATACATAGTCAAGGAAAAATCAATAAAACTTTAAAGACTATATCAACAAAAGATTTATTAAAGAACTAATCCGCATACAATAGTCAATTTCTTGAAGGAAAACTCATTAGATGACACAAAAAAAAAGGCTATACATAGTCAAGGAAAAATCAAGATAGTCTCAAGAAAACTTTAAAGACTATATCAACAAAAGTTTTATTATAGAACCATTCAACATACAATGGATAACAATGTGAGCAAACTATAAATTTCTCAACAGGCATGATGATCTTCAATCTCCACCATTGGCTCGACCTGAGGCATGGGAAACATACCTGCAGTAGTGAAGCCAGCAACACAACCTCCACGTCCATCAAGAGCAGAACATGTTTCATCTGACACCAAACCTGCAGCATCTGATATAGTAGTCGCTCCTTCCGATGCTCCTTGTCCTTCACCTCCTAAGATAGTTATAACAGCCGCAACATGATTGATATGCGGAAATGGTAAATACACACTGTGCACAACTATCTTCACATTGCAAATGACGCCAGCCCCTCTGGTTCTAAGCCTATGTTCCACATTACATAGAAGTCTACTAATAAGATCCTTTGCCTCTGCTGATAGTTTAGCTTCTTCTGGATATTTTAAATAATTTCTCCAATTGACTATATGAAAATATGAAGGTAGGAGATACAATATGATGATAAAGATTTAAAAAATCATAGGCAGTAAAAAGGAAGAAGATAGACTCATAATAGAATTTTAATAACTGACATGTGTCATCAAACTATAAATTATAAAATATCAATATTGGTCAATAGGTTCAAATATATCATGAGCCATATCCTTGATACAAAAATATCCTAAAAACATGGTAGCAGTAAAATATAATACTCTTCATAAACCCTTAAAATGATACCAAAATCTTCATGAAGAATATATAAAACAGAACGAAGAATATACCAAAATTGTCTTCACAAACAGCTGCAAGGTGCTCTCCGTGACAGGTTTCAACAGCCAGCTCAACGAATTCGCGCGATCGATGTAAAGAGATAACACGGTAACATTTTTTGTCCGAATAAAATTTAGCAAGATAAAATGAATTTGTATAATTTTAAAAAGATGTTGCAGTTCACCATTAGTAGCAACAACAACAACTTTCTCAGGTGTAGTCGACTTATTTTCTATAGAATCTCCGGTGGTAGAAGCAGTTGGTATTATACTCAAATAATACAGTAGCAAAAATGTATAGCATACCACACCAGCACAAACAAAATCAAGCTCTTTCGTAAAGTTTTCTTTTTGCTTCTCCATCTCTGCAGCAGACTGAAGTGAACGCGAATATATCGAAGCATAATATCACAACAGTCAATATGCTTGAAGAAAACAACAACTTGATAGATAATTTCAAGATTGACACTGTTATAGCCGCAAAAAAATAGTTGTTTAGTGAAGGTGTTATAAACATGTAAGAAACATACCACTCTCTCGAACCATCAGTTTGACGACACCGATATACCAACATCTTCAACACATGTTGTCGTTGGTGAGGAATATGTTGGAATACTGAGAATTTACATTAAATTGCATTCAGTAAACATCACATGAATTTCATTTTTATTTTATTTTTCTTAGTATAAGAGAATATGTAACACCTTAAGATCTCGGTGGATTACACGGTTAGAATGCAAGTAGTCTACCGCTATCAACAGTTGAGTTAGCCACTTTCAGACCTGCTGCACTTCAAATTGGAATTCCAGAGTGAGTAATGAATATTCATAATGAAATGTTAAGTAATTGACGATTAAGCTATTAATTACCTCCTATGGGAAAAATGATCTGCGGGCTTTCTTAATGCTCTCGGCCCTGCTCCACAAAGAATACAAAGTACCATCTTTAGGACTTTGTGTCAATGATAATATATCTCTTTTGTAATTAAACTTTTATCGTTTACGGAATACAAGAGGCATGGGACGCTAAGCAACTACAAGGAAACAATTATTAACTTTGACAGACAAATCAAACCACTGAGACAACATTTTATAGAGCAACAATTTTTAACAGTAAATTATATATCAAATCAGTACCTCAAAATACATTAATTGAAAACAGAACATCAAAATAGAAGTTGTTATAAGATGTTATAAACTGTCAACAATCTATAATAGAATTTGTCAAACAAAATAAAATTATGAAATCGACGTCGCGACTATGTAAGATTAAAACATCAATTACCAATTTTTTTACCACAATCTTTCTACTGGAAACAGGATGGAAACACTACCGATTTTTGTTGGTCTTAATTCATAAGCATTCTTGAAGTTATCAACCCTGTTTTTTCTGTTCATTTCAGCCCGTTTTAGAGCTTTGGTGTCCTTCACCCACTGTTTGTATTCCTCTTCACGTGGAGCAGAGTCGCTTACCTTCCGTTTCCGTTTATGGGAGAGGAAGAAACGGTGGTGGAAGTAATGGTTTTTGGGCTTAGGGTTTGGAAGAAACGGGGATAGTTGGTGGATGGAGAAACAATGCGGCGGTTGTAGGAACGATTTAGAACACGCACAAAATAGAAATAGGAAGAGAGAGGTAGAGCAGATGAATGAAAAATGTAACCGCTATACAGAGGTAGTGGAATGAGGAGAAAAACGTAACCGCTGTCATTGATGACTCAATGAAATAAAATGTAAAGAAAAATTAAGATTTGAAATAAACTATTTTTTGTTTTCTAATGAAGCCACGTGATTTATTTTTGAAATAAAAGGACAAAATAGACTTTTACGATAGAATAAGTTTTCTTATATTATAGATATAAGATATTTGTATCATTGAAAATTTAAATTAGAACTAAATTAAGTAGGTTTGGACATCTTAATCATCAAAATTAAAATTCACTAGCATTACTTAGTCTAATTAAAAAAATTGGGTATTTGTACCGTCAAAATTATAATTTGTAAGTCTTGCTCTGTATAATTAGGTAAAATGAATTGTCTATATCTACTAAATTAAAATTCTTAAGTTCTACTCATTTTAAGTAAATTTGAACATATGGATTATCAAAATTAAAATCCTTAATCTCACCTAGTATAATTAAATAAAATTGAAGATTTTAGATCAACAAAATTAAAATTCCCAAGTCATAAAAATTAGAATTCTTAAGGTATACGTACCTGCTTCTCTTTAAAGAATTGCACTATTTATGACGTGTAAACATGGGTGATAGTTTTATTCCCTCATGTTTCATTGCATCTACATTATTTAATGCTTTCTTCTAATTTACCCTTTTGTATTATACTTCCATAAGTTTATTTCTCTACACTAGATTTCTGTCCTCCAACCTCTTCAACTAATTTCAATGCTTCTTCCACTTTTCCAGCTCTACAAAGAGACCTTATAAACAAAGATTAGCCGGTAACTGTGTAGCCAAATTTTTGAAGTGAATCTATGCACTTCCAGCTTTTAAGATACTACCTGTTTCACATAAACAACTAAGGTAGGTTTCAATCAATTCCTTGTCATGACATCTCCTAAACTAATCATCTCAATGTATACTTTGAGAGCATCATCGATTTTCCTTCTTTTCCTCCCACTTAAAGGCAATGATTCAACCGTTGTATGTCCTCCTAATTGGAGTATAACCATAAACTTTGATACAACGACACCAATAATAATTTGAAAATGAATAAAATAAAGATAATTATAAATGTTGATGTAAGTGCCATTGTCCAACATAGATCCGGGCAGGTCACGCCATTTTTTAGAGGTATCAGTTTTATATAGTTTATGGTCTGTTAGTCCATGTTTCTGTTGCTATTGGATAATTGTTTCTTCTTAATTCATAAAACAGTTCTGGAAGTGCTTGAATTCTTTCCCACACCCTGCAATCTTGATTGCAATGTTGTATGGGTTGCTTTTTCCCTCATGAAAAAATGTTTAGCACTGCGAAACTATGCCTATTGCATATATATTAGCAATGTCATGTCATCACCCTTATGAAGTAGTAACCACACTCTGTGCAGCATTTTCACAAACAGCTTTAGTGCAATCATGTTGCTCCTTAAAACCAACTTCGGTGTCGCGAAGTTCAAAAGAAATCAGAAACCCAGAAGAGGAATGAATGATCAGGGATCACGTTTTCAGCACATAAAATCTTGGTACGAACATAAAAAATATTGTTACTATTTGCATAGCCAGGATAACACAATAGCAGATGTGACCTAATGGATTAGGCTTTTGACTTCTAATCAAGTGATGGTGGCCTTGTGGGGTCGGGTCCCACCAGGTATTTAAACCGTTTTTATTTTTTTGTTAATTTTTAATTTTTTTTAGTATATCACACTTTTTTTTTGTCTCGTAAACAGAATCAATTAAAAAACAAAGATGTTCGTCTGAAAACGGTTGTAATAGTCACCGGAGTGATTGAGTTCCGTCGCACCATGATTTCGGATCGCGCATTAAAGCCAATCGATTGAGTTTCAAACTAATTCATTTTAAGGTTTCATTCAATTCATGAACTAGAGTAAAAATTCTCAGCCACATGAACTATATTATTATTATTATTATTATTATTATTATTATTATTATTATTATTATTATTATTAATATTATTATTTCTGCTATAGTCTTTGTTGTTAACTTCCATAAGTTGATGACTCAGGAGATAATAAGCATTACATAGCACCGACACCTCAAGAAAATGGTGTTTGAGTCTAACACTGACACAACACTGATAATCGAGATTACATTTTATTTATTTATCTTTTAAATTATTATCGTTGTCGACGTGTCAGTTTCAATGTCGGTGCTGGTCCGAGTCTGGGTCATAGCTTGCCTTACTTGAAAGTGGTATAAAAACTGAGTCCTTTGTCTTCTTAATTTTGTGTTTAAGTCTGATAAAAATTACTATCTATCTTTTTGTTAAGATAAATACAGAGAGTACACTTGGATATTGTCCTTTGAGGATAAATTGTACTAGTTTATATTTTTCTTTTCTTTCGACGTTTCTGTTAAATCAGTATAAAAAAATACAGGCAATATGTTCAGTTTGACATACAAATCACTTTGTTAATTAGACAATACAAGAAAATGAATTGAGAATTTTCAAATAGGACCTTATTTTTTTTTTAAAGCTAACATTTGATTCTGAAAGAAATTGATCCACTCTACGTCTCTACATTGATCAAAATTGGACTTGTACTTCTATAAGTTTGTTGACTCACAAGAAGGCTGAACAACGCTGGGATTTTCATATGGAGAAATATTTCTATTGTTGGGAGCCACTGCTGCTCTTATTGGTTCGTTCATGCTATTCTTACTTATCTTTATCATATCGAAAATTGAATACTAATCCATGTAAATTGCTTAACCGGAAAATGTATATGCAATAGGTCCAAAGGATTTACCAATCATATCCAGAACAGCCGGCAGGGCTGTTGCTTATGTACAATTGGCCCGGGGACAGGTTCAATCTGTTATACAGCAATCTCAAGCTCGTCAGGTACTCTCATTTTCTTCGATCAAACGTATAATTCACCTTGATTTGTCTGTCCATAGTAAAATGCGGCAAAGTCAACATTGCATTGTAAGGAAACTGCATTCTAGTTAATGACATGTTTTGTGTTTTAGCTTCACATGGAACTTGACGGACTGTTGGCACAAGTAGATGCTATTAAACATGAAGTTCGAAGTCTTACATTCATAAATCCTGGCCCTTTAACTCGGAGCCTTGATAGTCTTGACCACGCATCTATCTTGAATGGTAGGTTTACATTGATGCATTATTTAATCGAAACATTGCTGATATTTTGTATGACCGTGTTATCGTCTGTTGTTGCATATACAGACTACAGAAAACCGGAAGGTGCTGGGGTGAATCTCTCAATATTGTCTCTTACCAAGGTTTATCAACCAAATACTACATAAACTGATAATTCTATAGAATATACTTCGCTAGGAACCGTGTTTTCTTACACGTCTAATTATTTCTAGGATTCAACCCCATTGCCGTCAAATTCATTCAATATGCAAAACCAAGCAACTACCTATGCCAGGTTGGCCGAGGCCCCTTCCATAAAGAATGGTTCATTGGCAAGTAGTGCTGAAGTTGAGAAGGTTAAATATGGGCTGCAGCTTATTGTCATGCCAGTTCCCGCTGAAAGTACTGGACTCTTACCAAATCGCGGGGGTAATAATAATTAGGGTTGTGTAGTTGGTTTTACTTTATCATGATTGTCTGTTATCTGCATTGCGTACTATGTTATAGAGATTTTTATGCAGCTTTTTTATATTCACAATTCTCATGTACTATGTTATAGAGATTTTTATGCAGCTCTTTTTATTGCTCTAGAATGATATCTGAATAGAAACATGCTTTGGTTGTATTAGGAGCTGATGTGAAAGGATCTGACTTAGTTCAAGAAGCAATTTTGGAAGCAGAGGTAGCTCATAAAGCAAAGGAGTCATTGGATAGATGTTTCTGATGTACTTTCCAGGGAGTTCTCTCCCTTCATCCAAAGCAGATTATTGGATGTCGTATTTCTTTCTTTCACCCAAAGCAAGTCATTGGATGCGGTGGTCCCCTTTCATAGTTATGTTGATGTCCAGAACCAATAATTGGATATCTTATATCCAATATATTGTTTTTCACTCTCCAATGCCAAATATTGGATGCCATTATTCAACTATCACAAATTTTCAGTTTCGAGTCTTTCTAATAATTCCCACAAAGTCTGTCTCGTATCATACATCATTCAAAAAAATATATATGTAAAAAAGAGTCATGCATTCATTGCATTCTCGCCACACTTCATTCACCTCATACCCATTGCGTCTCTGGGCAAAAATTCGGATTTTTTAATATTTAACTATCTCCCACTACGATCATATGAAGTTTGATCATCTTCATATCATCTGATTAAAGATATTTAAATAGGGACATCGTTTATATTCTGAGTTTTTCTCATTGACATCGTCTATATCCAAATTAATTTTTATTCGCATATTTGCATTTTTCGCGCATTTCCCTCGCTTTGTTCTTGTTTTCAATTTTTCTTTTAGGTATTAATTTTGTTCTTTATTTCATAATTAAGAAAAAAAAATTATATATGTTTTTCTTTTTATTCTTCATTTTTATTTAGAATTTAGTTTTTAGTTTTTGTATTTCATTTAAAAAACACCATAAAAATATATAGTTTTAATCAATAATTTAGTTTTATTATTTATTTTTTGTTATTTAGTTTTATTTTTAATACAATAAATATCTTAAAATATCTAGGCAATGGTTTGTTTGGTGATTTGTGAAAACCTAATTGGTTTTTATAAGTATGGATAAGTCGATATACAGGATGAAAAACGCAAAAGCTGCGTAGAACAACATCTTCTAATCTCCTTCTTCTCTTCATTTTCCTTCACGGAGACACCAACCGAACCCACCATCCAATCTCTCTCCTCTCCGTCGCTATCCCTCCGCCCTTACCCTCCTCGTCGAACAACCCACCAGCCACCATCTACCTGCGTTCGCGATGGTAATCTCCTCTATCGACTTCTGCTATTTCCTCGCGACTTCCATCACCATCAGCATTTCACAACAACACAGATCCAACCATTTTCTCTTCAATATCCAACAACACTCCAACCCAGCTCACAAGTCTCACCATTAAACAGCCAACCGAAAACCATCACCAACCGAGCTCCTCTCTTCCGCAAACATTTTGCCACCCTCCGAACTGAACTCACTCCATCATAGCCTCCATGAGTTCATAGTTCCGGAAACCAACGAACCCACACCACAACTTCGTTTCACTATTCCGTCATAGAACCTCACGCTTCATTCTGGTACAACACGTCTCTTGACATTGCTATTAGTTCACCATTTTTTAAGCTTTTTATTTTCTGGATTGTTGTGGTTGAATTGAAGATTGAAATTGATGATGGTAATTTGCTGTCATGATTTCTATTAAAAACAGTTTGATGTGTTCAGTTTTGATCTCCTTTGAGTGTAGGTGCTAGGCTTTATTTGTTGGAACTATTATGCTGTCGTAATTCTCTGGAAAAGAATAGTCCGAGGATGTTCTCTTTTGAGTTAAATCGTTGATGCTATTATATATTTTGTGGAAAAGCAGTCGAGCATGTAATGTGTGTTGAGTTTGTTTGTTTGAGTTGAAATTGTCATTAAACTGTGATGAATTCTAATGTCAGCGTCGCTTTGAGTGTCGGAGTATGTTGGAATTGTTGTGTCAGATGTCATTCCGTTTGTGTATGTTGAAGTCGTTATCGTGTTATTTGTTTTGAATTCGATTGAAATCTATACCATGTTAATATACTATTCTCGCTTTAATTTCAATTGGAGTTGTGATGAATGTTATGCGTGTAATTCGAATGATTAAAGTGTCATCTTATACCAGTTTGTTTCGAACATGATCAAGTCGAATCGTAAGGCATCAATAGGTTATTGTTGTTGGTTTTGTGAATGATAACATGACTTTGTTTTGTGGATTATTCTTGAGGGTAATTAATTAGCTTTGAGTTGGTTCATCGTTGTTGTTCTTGTGAATGACACATTTTGTTTAAGATCAATTTGAAAGAGGTATTAATGTTGTTTGGATACATTTGATTGGATTTAAATGAAAAATCTGGTTGTGATATTATTGTGGTCCGCGTCTTGGTCATAGCTTGCCTTACTTGAAAGTGGTATAAAAACTGAGTCATTTGTCTTCTTAATTTTGTGTTTAAGTCTGATAAAAATTACTATCAATCTTTTTGTTAAGCATAAATGCATAAATGCAGAGATTACAGTACACTTGGATATTATATTCCTATAGAAGTTAATCAAAATGAACACAATCATATGACTGTAATAGAAGTATTAAACATTAATGCCTTATTGTCCTTTGAGGATAAATTGTACTAGTTTATATTTTCCTTTTCTTTCGATGTTTCTTTTAAATCAGTATAAAAAAATACAGGCAATATGTATAATTTGACATACATCACTTTGTTAATTAGATAATACAAGAAAATGAATTGAGAATTTTCAAATAGGACCTTATCTTTTTTTTAAGCTAACATTTGATTCTGAAAGAAATTGATCCACTCTTCGTCTCTACATTGATCAGAATTGGACCTCTACTTCTATAAGTTTGTTGACTCACACAAGAAGGCTGAACAATGCTGGGTTTTTCATATGGAGAAGTATTTCTATTGCTGGGAGCCACTGCTGCTCTTATTGGTTCGTTCATGCTATTCTTACTTATCTTTATCATATCGAAAATTGAATACTAATCCATGTAAATTGCTTAACCGGAAAATGTATATGCAATAGGTCCAAAGGATTTACCAATCATATCCAGAACAGCTGGGAGGATAGCCGGCAGGGCTGTTGCTTATGTACAATTGGCCCGGGGACAGGTTCAATCTGTTATACAGCAATCTCAAGCTCGTCAGGTACTCTCCTTTTCTTCAATCTAATGTATAATTCACCTCGATCTGTCTGTCCATACTAAAATGCATTTCTTCGATCAAACGTATAATTCACCTCGATTTGTCTGTCCATACTAAAATGTGGCAAAGTCATTATTGCATTGTAAGAAAACTGCATTCTAGTTAATGACATGTTTTGTGTTTTAGCTTCATAAGGAACTTCACGGACTCATGTCACAAGTAGATGCTATTAAACATGAAGTTCGAAGTCTTACATTCATAAATCCTGGCCCTTTAACTCGGAGCCTTGATAGTCTCGACCACGCATCTATCTTGAATGGTATTGTTTACATTGATGCATTATTTAATCGAAACATTGCTGATATTTTGTATGACCGTGTTATCGTCTGTTGTTGCATATACAGACTACAGGAAACCGGAAGGTGCTGGGGTGAATCTCTCAATATCGTCTCTTACCAAGGTTTATCAACCAAATACTACATAAACTGATAATTCTATAGAATATACTCTGCTAGGAACCGTGTTTTCTTACACGTCTAATTATTTCTAGGATTCAACTCCATTGCCGTCAAATTCATTCAATATGCAAAGCCAAGCAACTACCTATGCCAGGTTGGCCGAGGCCCCTTCCATAAAGAATGGTTTATTGGCAAGTAGTGCTGAAGTTGAGAAGGTTAAAGATGGGCTGCAGCTTATTGTCATGCCAGTTTCCGCTGAAAGTACTGGACTCTTACCAAATCGTGGGGGTAATAATAATTAGGGTTGTGTAGTTGGTATACCTTATCATGATTGTTTGTTATCTGCATTGTGCACTATGTTATAGAGATTTTTATGCAGCTTTTTTATATTCACAGTTCTCGTGTACTATGTTATAGAGATTTTTATGCAGCTTTTTTTATTGCTCTAGAATGATATCTGAATACAAACATGCTTTGGTTGTATTAGGAGCTGATGTGAAAGGATCTGACCTAGTTCAAGAAGCAATTTTGGAAGCAGAGGTAGCTCATAAAGCAAAGGAGTTCTTTTCACAGCCTGAAAATCAGCCCGGAAATCAGATATGATTGATATAGTAATCCTATATGATACCTTAAATTTTTTTAGATGTTAGCATTTGTAGATTCACAATGGTGCATATTTAGTCTATTTTTATCTTGAAGGTATTGGTTGATGCATTGTCATTTCTTTAAGTTTCTCTTGTTCCTCATAACAGAAAATCTAAAGGATTGTTTGTGCTTTAACAATTTGAAGTTACTAGATCTTCTATTGATGCAATTTCTTGATAACTTCCACCACCATGACACCAAGGTTATCATTGAGATTTAAATCTTGAATATAAAGAAATATTTTTCAAATTGTGAAGTGAATATTATGAACCATAAAGATATAATCAATAAAAGTGTGATGCTTTTAAATGAGAAACAGTGTTGCTGCATGTCATTTTTTAACTTGGCCGTAAAGTATTTGTTGATCGTGTCCTTCATCCTGCTATTTGATTATCATTCCCTTGTTTGTATCATGTCTCTGACTATTAATGAAATGTACTGATTTACTCGCTTAAAACACGGGAAAAAGTACATAGGGAGAAAACCTAAGTTGATAGAATGTTAAATACTTCACAATTTAAGTCGTAAATCAAGACGAAAAAGGCGGTTGCTTAAATGTTTACGGGCAAGTTGTAGTTCACCAGAGTTAACTAGGATTCATACATTTATTGTCCAAAAAAGATATGCATGGTGATTTATATTGATCGTGTTTAATTTTGTTTTGAATTGAGATACATTTGCATGTATTTTAATATGTTCATAACCATGCTTGATACTATTTGTCACAACTAAGCACCCTCCATTTGTATTACTATAGTCAAAATTGATTACAACCATTGAAGTGTATCCTCCTCCCTTTGTAATACCTTAGATTTAAATCACAAAAAATATGACTTGTATTATTGTACCATTGTACTATTGCCTTTTGTTCCAATTTGAAAGTGACTCTTTGAGAGGGAAACATTAGAGGATGTTATATTTTATTTTAAAGGGATCTCTATCAGATGATGTCAACTAGATGATCAAAGTAATCTTTATCAAAGACAATGATTATTAGAGGAAGTGATTAATTTTCATTATGTTAGAGGAAATGACTAATTTTCATTCAGTTAGAGGAATTGGTAACAGATATAAGTTTGTTCCTTTGGGTTAGAGGAACTGGGGTCAGATAAAGTGATTCATTTTCCTCTGATTATATGAACTAGCACCATACAAAGTAATTCATTTTCCTCTGGTCAGGGAAACTGATGCCAAATGAAGCTGACATTGTTGCTTCAGTTAGAAGAAATGGTGCTAGAGACAATCCCAGAGCTTCCTTCTACATTCCTCTAATATAGATTTCTATACATAAAACACATAAATAGAGAAGAAAATTGTTCTCTTATATATTGATTATCATCGAAATCAAAATTAGAGATCATTGTTTTTCAATTGAACTAGGTTATAATAATCTTTTCATATTTTTGATGATGACAAACAAACATATTTTGATGAAAAATTTTCAATTTTAAAAGGGAAAAAAATATCAGGGGTATCTTTTGAATTTATGCTAAACTATGTGACTTTTTTTTCCTTAATCATGCATTCTCTTTAAAAATATCTCCCAATTACTCAATGTTTTCTTTCAAAAATAATTTTCTCACTCTTTTGTCATCAAACGAGAAGGTTAATAAAAAATAGGAAAGAGAATAAATCGGTTGCAAAATTTAAAAGAATTAAAAATAACTAAAAACACAAACATAAACTTATTTAGCCCAAACTATGCAAAGGTGTTATGTATTCCAAACTATGCAAAGGTGTTATGTATTTGGGTTTGGTTTGCTGTTGTTAATTTTTTTGAAACTTTTTAAATTACTCATGTTTTTCTAGTATACCGTGCGAAAAATATTAAAATATTTTTAGGTTTCTGAGATATGTCTCGGAGATGCATTCAGGATGTGATCAAACACAAAATTTTTTGAAGGTACATTTACGGTATCAAATCGATATTATATTTCTAGAAAAATGCCTTATAGAATGCAGCAAAAACAAAAACAAAATACACCAACTTCAAAAAATTTCAACACCATTGATATCATAAAATAAGCAATACATAAGGAATTTTAACATAGATCAAACAATACACTTCAACATCCAGGTGGACGTTGTAATATCTTGATAATATCATCGATCGATCTCAAAATTGTCGCATCCATCTTGATCGGAACTTTTTTATTCTAAACGAAAAAAGGTTCTCCACATAGCCCGTAAACCAGCGTCCGTCTTCAGCTCATGGTTGTTGAACTCAAGCTTCCTTTCTTCGTCAACTGATGACGAGCCGTACTCAATCTTCACGATTTTTCCGATTATCACCATATAGTATGAGCTCTTGCAATATGTATTACAGATCTCAAGAGGGGTATACTCATTGATCTTAAATTATCGGGATAGTGTATTACCGATAAAGTGAACATTTCCAACACGCCATTTGATGCTCATGCTGGTTTTGTGTTTTGGTATGAAACAAAATCACGAGTGAGCTTATTTATATTAGTGGGATGATATTATGGACCATACAAATCCTATCTGCTGACAGAGAATGTACTAGAGATGTAACTTTGAAAGCATCCTTAATTTTTTACCGAAGATGTATCTGCGGAAACTTCACTTGTATTAAAAATCAGAAAACAAACAGAAACAAAATCACATAATTGTCTTGAATGCTGGAATTGTTGGACAAACTACAAAATACTTATATTGCACAGCATAATACATTACCAAAATATCATATACAATAAAAAGATAAATCATTACTAAAATGGTCTGAAATAACTGTCTCCTGCCAAATCTATAGGTGGTACCCCCTTTGACTTTTCCTTATTTTTTTCTATTTCAATGTTGCTCAACTTACTGTACTCTTGCATCCTTTCAATAAATTGATCCGAGCAAGTCTCATATTGGATTGTATAATAATTCATCCACCCCGGTGATGTAAATGGTATATGGCATACTAGTTCAAATACACTTGAAGAAAATATCGTGGATTTAAAATCCCCTAACACATATGATACGATCATTGAGATTTAATGATGGAGTAGCCTGGAGTGGGAAAAAAGATTTTGAAAAACCGTATCTTGTAAGATTAATACACACTCTTTCATATGTATTTTCTATGAGATGACTCGTCTTAGAGAAACGCATCCACTTTTCCTCCGGTGCAAATCCACTAACGCATGGTACAAGAGCGTGATAAATTTCTTCAACTTTTTCTTTAGTCTCGAGCATTTGTGTGTATAATTCTCTATTTCTCCTCAACTCTCTGATAATAGTATCGCGGATAAGTTGGTGATCATCTTTTCCTTTAGCGAGTAAACCAGAAACAGCCTGAAAACCACAGTTATTCTCACCCTTAACATTGACGATTCGTTCAATGTAATTGTGCATAAAATCATCCTTGCTATTTCTCAACTAATTCTTCAGACAAGCATGAGCAGACGCAACTCAGTTTGTTGTTATATTTCCAAGGTGCATAATCTGATCGGTCCAAGCACAAACAATCTTTTCCTTTACCTAGTCCAAAATTGTGCTTTCAACATATTTCAATAAATCGAGATATTTAACGCACACCTTCCTGAAATGTATAACATCATTAACATATAACTCTTTTGTAGATGCATGTATATAACATTCCACGCATCCATAATTTTCTCAATTATAATGTCCGCCTTGACCACTTTCCATCTTCACCTACTATTTGTTTTGTCCCTACCGCAGGTTTAGCACGACTTCTCACATTCTTAGTAATGTGATACCTACAAAGTAATGCATAAGATGTGAGAAGTATCTTTGCAACCGAATTCATTAATGCAGTATCTCGATCGGTAATAATGACTTTCGACATATCTTCTTAGTCCTTCAACATAGACTGACAGACCTCTAAAGTCCATGCAAAGTTGTTCTCTTTTTCGCACTTTAGAGATACAAAATCAACAGAATACGTCTTCTCAGTCGACGTAACACCAACAATTTCCAACAATGGAAGTCTATATTTGTTGGTCTTATACGTTGAATCAATTATAAACACGCTAGGAAACGTATTGAATAATTTAATAGAATCAGGATGAGTCCAATATATATCTCTTATTGTTACTCTATCTTCACATCTCTGGTGCCTAAAAACGTAATTGTTATTATTTAAAAATTTCAAGAGGTATTGCATTTCAGTTCAATTTCCCCTAATCACTAACTTGGATTGATAGTGCTTATTCTACACTTGTTTGCTATTTGAGATATTCCTAAGTCTTTTGCGCTTCACGATTGCAAGTATGTTTTTGGGAGATACCAAATTCAATGTCACTTCAGAAACATATGTAATACTTGACAAATCTTTGACATTTGTTAAAATTGATGTATGATTTTGTCACCTATTAAAATCAAAAGGAAAATTGTAATAACAATTTATAGATATGGAGAAAGATGCAGAAGAAGATTTGTCATATAAAATCAAATATTTGTGAATAAAAATAGAGATTGACGATGAAGAACAAATACATAAAAATCGACTTTGTTTGAAAGTAGAAACTATCACCTAAAAATCGCTGGAGCAGGTTGGAGAAGAAGTAGAATAAAAGGATGGAGCATGAGAGAGAGAGAAAAAGGAGGTTAAGATTTGTAAGTATGCACAAATCCAAACTTTAGGAGGGAGTTTGTGAAGAATAAAAACAACTTTGGAAAAAGACAAAATGTTAGATTTCAGAGTTTGTTTTGAGCTAATAAATGAAAACTCATTTACAATACAGAAAGAAGTAGAAACAAAGATGTTAAATAGTAATCAAAAGGATGCAAATATGTTAATTTAACCAATTTAATCAAAAGTTGTAGGTTAAAATCTCTAAAATGATGTGCAGAAGAAATTCAATTTATAAAAAAAAAAAATTAATATCATCTCATCTATAAAAAGTGGACAACATTGACTCTCTCGTTAAATTTGAGATATCAATTGTAGTTGAAGTTTTGTACGATTTTTAAGTATATATGAA